TTGCAAGGGAAAAAATGAGTCAGAAAGAGGGAGGGAAGCTGAAGGGGAAATTTGTAGACCAAATCAAGTTAAAAGACATCAGTCAATTGCTGATGTGGGCTTTATTTGGATCCTGATACAAAACGTACTGTAAAAATAATAATTTGAAATCTGAACACTGAATCAATGAAGAGCAGTGGAAATAGGATAATCTTTTCAATAACCACTGCTGGGGCACCTGGGTGGCTCAGTCAGTTAAGCATCCAATTCTTGGTTTCAGCTCAGGTCATGATCTCACAGTTCATAACATTGAGCCCCATATAGGGCTCAGTGATGGTCCAGAGCCTGCCTGGGATTCTCTTTCTCTCTCTTGCTCGCTCGCTCTGTCTCTCACCCTCTCTCTCTGCTCCTTCCTCACTCATGCTATCTCTCTCTCAAAATAAATAATAAAATAAAATAATAAAATAAAATAAAATAAAATAAAATAAAATAAAATAAAAACAGGGGCGCCTAGGTGGCTCAGTCGGTTAAGTGTCCGACTTTGGCTCAGGGCATGATCTCATGGTTTGTGGGTTCAAGCCCCGCGTCGGGCTCTGTGCTGACTACGAGCTCAGAGCCTGGAGCCTGTTTCAAATTCTGTGTCCCCCTCTCTCTCTGACCCTCCCCTGCTCATGCTGTCTCTCTCTCTCAAAAATAAATAAAACATTAAAAAAATTTTAAAAACAGTGCTAAATTGGATAGCCAAGTGGGGGGCAGGGGGTGAAACTTGACCTCTACCTTACATTATACACAAAATCCATTTTCAAGTGGACAGTAGATCTAAACGTGAAAGCCAAACTATAAAGCTTTTAGAAAATAGCATACAAGAAAATCTTCATGATCTTGAAGTAGAGAATTAGTCCGTAAATAGGAAACAAAGCCAGGGGCGCCTGAGTGGCTCAGTCGGTTAAGCGTCCGACTTTGGCTCATGACGATCACAGTTTATGGATTCGAGTCCTGCGTCGGGCTCTGTGCTGATGGCTAGCTCAGAGCCTGGAGCCTGCTTAAGATTCTGTGTCTCCTCCTCTCTCTGTCCCTCCCCTGCTCTGTCTCTCTCTCTCAGAAATAAAAAAAACATATAAAACAAAGCCAGCCAGGAGAGGTCTTGAACTACATTAAAATTGCAAACCTCCATGAAACATGAAACTCTAAGCCACAGAATAGGAGTAGTGTACATGCTACACATGCAACTGACAAAGAACTAGTATTCTGAACATATGAACTAAAATCATTAAGAAAAAGAAAAAACAAAACTGAGGAAAAGATTGGGCAGTGGGGGTGCATATCATAAGATAGTCAACCTCATTTAAACTTAGGAATGAGCAAATTAATACCAAAAAGACATTACATACCAGTAATTAGGCAAAAATCAGACCAGCACCACCAACAAATATAGGTAGAAAATCTGAAAATACTAGAAATACATATTCTGTTACTATGAAAATTCTGATAGTTTAGTAGATCATTCCAAACTGTTTTTCCTGCTATTGCATCCTCTTTTCATATGACAGTATAAATTGGTACAATCACCTTAGAAAACAGTTTGCCATTATTCTACTCAAGTTGAAGATACGTATATCCTAATACCCAGCCATTTGCTTGTGGATATATATACTAGTCTCCAGGACCTAGAGAAATTCATGGACACGAACAACAGTGTTCTTAGCAGCCATGTTAATAATAGTGTCAAACTATAAATAATCCAAACAGCCATTAGCACTAGAGTGAATAATTAGTGGCATGTTCATAAATAGCATCCTATACAGTAATTAAAATCGATAAATTCGATACATGCCATAGCATGAATATAAAGAAAATGCAACACATAAAAATTACATACAGCATAATTTCTTTTATGTGATGTTCAAAAACAGGCAAAACTAAACTATATCATTTAAAGATGTATAAATGGCTGAGAAAACAAAAGAAGACCAAGGAAAGGATTATTACAAAAATAAATTTTATGATTACTTCTGGGGGAAGGGAGTGGTCTGTAAAAAGGGGTCCAAGGGAAGACTTGTGAGGGTCCAGAAATGATCTTTCTTCAATTGAGTTTGGTTAAACAGATGTTAACTTTACCACTGCCTATTAAACTGTATGTGCTTTATGTATTTACATTAATCTCAGCCATCACACCCACTACACACACACACACACACACACACACACACAGCCCTCGTTGATCTTTCTATCACAATTTTAGCTGTTATCTTTAGGTAAGAATTCTTTTCCCCCTATTTTAACACTTTGTAAATTTTCACTGATAAACAAACATTACTTTTAAAAATGGGAGTAAATGCCTTCTCCCAATAGCATAATGAACACTGTAGAGAAATTAGGGCAGCTTATGTTTATTGATTGTGCAGCACAGTACCCTATACTCTTCATACACATTAACTCTTTTAAGATTAAAAACAACTCTAGAATGTAGTTATTATCAGTCTCTTTACAGAGGCAGTTGCCAGTGCTCACATAATTGTAAATGTGAGAGCTAATCTGCCCAAATCTGAATGAAACGTTTCCCACTATTCTACACAAATTCCAATAGCTGAGAAATTTTCTTTACTATCTACCTATTCACTTTCCCCTTACAATATTCTGTAGCATTTTCTTCATCTGATATTTAATTCATTTATTCATCAAATACTTACTTAGTACCTACTATATCCCAGGTATTGTTCCATATATAAGATATACAAAAGGGCAAGAAGGGAGAGAGGTGGCGGGGGGGAAGATATACAAAGGGGAAAAGATATGACAAAGTCCAAGCTTACATTTTAGTAGGGGACACAAATAATAAATAATTTCAGATAGTAATCAGTTCTATGAAGAAAACAAAACAATGGCACAGTGATTGTGGATAGTAGAAACATGTGAGCTGAGATTTGAATGCTAAATAAGCCATGCAAACTACTGGAAAGGATTCCAGGCAGTGGCAGCTGTAACCATCAAAGCCCAGAAAGGGGAATGAGCCTTGACACATTCAATGAATAGAAGAAGTAGAAGGCCACTCTGCCTATAGTACGGTAGGAAAAGACGACAGAGAGTGTATTTTAGGTCAGTCCAAGCAAAGAATTTAAATTCCATTTTTGATGCAATGGGAAATCACTGAAGGTTTTTAAGCAAGGAGTGCCACAGTACAATTTCAGCTTCAGATCTTTGTTAAGAAAAGGCTTTGAGGGAGCAAGGGTTGGGAAATGGCAAAAGTAGAAGTGGGAAGACATTAGTTTTTAGTAAGAAATCCAGGAAGGAGATGAAGAAGCTTGAGCTAGAGTGGTAACAATCAAAATGGAGGGAAGTGTCCATCTATCAGATCTATTCTGAGGGAGATAACTGAGTGTCTATTTCTTCGGTAAACAACTATTCGCTGCATGCTGTAATACATCAGCCATGTTCTAGGTGCCAGGGACACATAGCTGAATGAGACAGATAAAATTCCTGACTTCAAGGAGATTAAATATTACACATTGCAATGGGGGAAACAGATATTTAATAGGTAAATAAAAATATAATGTCAGATACTAAGTGTTACGATGAAAAACAATGAATGATAGAAAAGGGGTTACATTTTACATAAGTCAAGGAAAGACTGTATAACATGTGACACTTAAGCACAGACTTAAAGTGAAGCATAAGTCACACGAATTTTGGGAATAAAGCACTCCAGGGAGAGGAAACAGCAAAGAAAAAGACCTTGAGGTGAGAATGTGCTTACGCTGTGAGCAGAACAGCAGAGCAAATGCAGCTACCGCAGAATGAGTAAGTAAGAGAGGCAGAGGAGCCACAAGAGGTGGCGAGGATGGATCCCATAAGGCCAGCAGGTCACAGAGAAAATTTTGAATCGTGTCTAAAGTGTGGTGAAAAGTCTTGAGAGTTGAGAACCGGGGAGGGGAAACCTGTTTCATATTTTAGAAAGGTCATTTTGACTACTTTTTTGAACTGCTAAAGGGTAAGTAATATGAAAAGAAGGATAATGGAGGCTTCAACCAGAGTGCTTCTAGGGGAGATGTGAAGTAGGACAGGTTGTAGATAAATTTGCTAAATTGAATAGGATTTGCTGCATTAAGTTTAAAATATGAAAATCACGTCAAAGAGGATTCCGGGGGTTTGGGCTTAAGGTACTGGAGAGCTGACTGTAACATTTACTGGGATGGGAGGAACTAGGGAGGAATGGGTTGTAGGACTGGAACCAAAAGTTGGTTTTGGTTGTGTGTTCACTATTAGTCAAGTGGAAATGTCAGCTTGGCTGTGGCTGTTAAAGTCTGGAACTAAGGGAAGGGGTCAAAGCCTGGGGTAACTTTGTGTTTGAGAGTTACTAATGACAACTTCTCAAGGAAAACATTTCTTTCATGTTTGAGACTTTACCGGCTCAATTCTTAGGAGCCACCTATTGGTTAAAATTTATTTCTCCTAAGGGTACACTGCAGCACCACAATTTACCAGTATACCTAATAATGATAAAACTCTAACCATAAAACTTTATGTTCCTAGCTTCAGACTAAGATGATTAATTTTATAAATTACCAAGAAAAAGGAATACAGGCCTCGACCCAATACATTCAAAAATTAATATAAATTTTATCAGAAAAACAAAGTCTTAGTAAATCTATCAGATCTATTTTTTTTTTTAATGTTTTATTTATTTCTGAGAGAGAGAGACAGCGTAAACAGGGGAGGGTCAGAGAGAGAGGGAGACACAGGGAGTGAAACAGGCTCCAGGCTCTGAGCTGGCAGCACAGGGCCCGACATGGGGCTCGAACCCACGAACCGTGAGATCATGACCTGAGCCAAAGTCAGACGCTTAACCGACTGAGCCACCCAGGCACCCCTCTATCAGATCTATTTCTGTCACAGCTTCTTTACTTCTCCCTCTTCTATTATTCCCTACCACCTAGAAGCTTGGTCACCAATAAGTCCACAGAGTTAGCTCTTCATTTTCAAAATAGAATTTATTTCTTTAATAAAGAATTAAAATATGGCCGTGAAAGTAGAAAATAATATAGAAAAATATTTAAAATGTGCAATAGTAATTTTAGAGTAAAGGTAGTTAAGCTTTAGAGTTTATGCTCAACTTCTACTTGAAAGACCAAACAGTATTATATATATTATTAGCTACACTGGAAAAAAACATACCTACTTGCAATTTTAATTAACAGTTATAATTCAAAAACAGATTTATATACTTGGTCATGCCCTTGTGAAAATGGAAGTACAAATCTTCAGGATATATTTTTTGAAGTTGGCTTCACTTTATAGGCTGATTAATCTACTGTCCAAAAGTCACAGGGATTGCTTTCATTACTAATCCATACATATAACTAAATCAACATGGAGGAAACACATACTTATTGGATGAAACCAAACGTTTTGTTAACAATGCGACAAGAAAATCATCTTTCATTGCGTTAGTATAAAAGTTGATAAGCTCATGTACCCCCAAAGCATGGTTTCTATCACATGCAGACACTAAAAACAAGATGAAGAAATATCTAATGAATTCTATCCATCTGTTCCCCAAATCTTTAGTTACAATGAAGATATAGGTATTGTTTGTATGAAGGACATACAAAAAGAACTGGAAAATGTTTGGCTAGAGGAAAGACAACTCTTCAGGTACTACTGTTTGCAGTTTGCAGAATAGGATAATCTTCTCTAGGAAGAATAATGTCAACATAGCAGCACTATATTCACCAGGAATCCAATGGATCTCTCATGTGACAGGAAGCCAAACCTTCTGGCTGCTCACAACATCACTCAGCTTCCCTTTAATCTTCAGGAAGTGTCTCTTGAATTCCAATCCATCACCCTGTATTAGGAATAATATCCCAAAAAGTGTCAAAAAAAGAGACTGCCATAAAATCAAACTCTCTTTAGTGGTTAAGTAGAGGCAAATATCTTTAGATACGTCCAGCTACAATTCCCTTCAGATCTTCTGAGACCAAATATTCTAGAAGAAATAGCTACATAAATAATTCCAACTTGATTTGGGGACCATCACTGTTCCCACTACACTGGGCTCAGAGAGCAGAAACAATGGCATCTTTTCTGTTTCAAGCATTGGTAACTCTGGACCTAAGTCACTGTTTTCCATAGGTACTGGGGGTTTGTAAACTAAAATTTAGCTACACAACTACACGGAAATCTTGCCAAAATACTGTGGCAACAAAGCCAGTGATTCAGTTAAGAGAAAAATTTCACTACACCAGGATTTTAGTAATTTAATTCCATACTAAACATCCAGACAACAGAATTGCAGCAAAGCTCCAATTTCAGAATGTGACCTATTTCTCCAACCTCCTTTAGAGCCATGTACACTCTCTCAGGAAATAGAGAAAATGCTATTTTGGTCTTATACCAGAACCAGTAATCTCTAAAGAAATAACCAGAAATGTGAACAAAACTCTATATATATGAACATTAATCACAGACTTCCTTATGACAGATAAAGATTCATTAGTGATATTGTACATTTTGACAAATATATACTTGTAATTAAAAAGATATATTTGGATTAAGTAAGAAAAAGTTTAGACTGCTTTTTTTAAAAAAGTTTATTTATTTTGAGAGAGAGAGAACATAAACAGGGGAGGGGCAGAGAGAGAAGGAAGGAGAGAATCACAAGCAGGCTCTGAGCTGTCAGCACAAAATCTGGTAGGGGGCTCAAACCCACGGGATCATGACTGAGCCGAAACCAAGAGTCAGACACTCAACCAACTGAGCCACACAGGTGCCCCGAAGCTTAGAATGCTTTAAGACAATCAGGGTAATTACTGGTGGACAATATGATTCAGGATAATTTTTATTTTATTTTTACTTATTTACATTTTCTACAAAAAAGTAAGACTCTGTTTTAGAAAAAGAATGAAAAAATACAACATTGAATGAAAAAAAGCAAGTAAAGGGGCGCCTGGGTGGCTCAGTCAGTTAAGTGTCTGACTTCAGCTCAGGTCATGATCTCACGGTTTGTGGGTTCAAGCCCCGCATCAGGCTCTGTGCTGACAGCTAGCTCAGAGCCTGGAGCCTGCTTCAGATTCTGTGTCTCCCTCTCTCTCTGACCCTCCCCTGCTCATGTTGTCTCTCTCACAAGTAAATAAAAACATTAAAAAAAAAAAAAAGAAAAAAGCAAGTAAACATATTTTACAAATGCCACGTATATACAAATATAATATCACTTAAAAAACTCTACATAAGAGTATTTCCATACAGCACACACTAAAAAAGTGTAAGACTACTATAATGAAATATAATAAAAAAATAAGTCTCTGTTGTTTCTGGATGATAAGATTAAACTGGATTTTTTATTTTCTCCTTTGTATGTTTTCCTATTTTTTTTTTTTTTGGTTTCTACAACGAACATGTAATACTTAACAACAACAAAACAAAGTCTTTTTAAAAAATGTGCTGTTCTAGGGACACATGGGTGGCTCAGTTGGTTAAGCATCTGACTCTTGATTTCAGCTCAGAGCACTCTCTCAAAAAAAAAAAGTGCTGTTCTACATACCTTAGATAGCCGAAAGTCAACCAAGATCTTCTCATCCATTTCTACCAAATTCACTTTGAAAATCAGTTTATTGTTTCTCCTATCAGTTGTTGATACAGTAACCTAGGCAATAAAAATCAGGTTAGCACAAATTACAAAAACATTTGTAATAATTCTCACTTCAAGGGATGACTATAAAAAATACACTGGTGTGCCACAATTACGCAAAACTAGAAAACATCATGTTCTGGAAAAATACAAAACACATACACTGCTGCTGGGAATGTAAAATTTACGGCTGCTTTGGTAAACCACTTGGCAGCTCCTCAGAAAGTTGAACGTAGGGTTACTCTATGCTTTAGCAATTCCATTAGCTGCTACAGAGCTAAGAAATTGAAAACATATTGTTATGGGTGGAATTGCGTCCTCTTAAAATTTGTATGTTGAAGCCCTAACTCCTTAGAATTGACTGTATTTGAAGACTGGGGCTTTAAAATGGTCCTAACTAGACAATTAGGTGGACCCTAATCCAATATGACTGGTGTCTTTGTAAGAAAAAAGTTAGGATACATAGATACCAGGTATGCATGCACACAAAGACCACATAAGGAGGCAGCAAGAGGACGGCCATCTGCAAGCCGAGAAGAGAGGCCTCCAAGGAAACTGACCCTGCTGGCACCGTGATCTTGCACTTCGATCTCTAGAATCATGGGAAAACATATTTCTATTGTTTAAGCACCCAGTCTGTGGTATTTTGTTATGACAGCCTTGGCAAACCAAAACACACATAAGTTCATACAAAAACTTGTATAAAAATGCACAGAGCAGCATTATTCATACAATAGCCAAAAAGTAGAAACATCCCAAATGTCCATCAACAGGTAAATGGATAAATAAAATGTAGTCTTCTATCCACATAATGGAATATTATTTGCCCATAAAAGGAATAAAGTGCTGATGAATGTAAACCACAAAGATTAACCTTGAAAACATGCTAAGTAAAATAAGACAGACACAAAGCCAGTTATATGACATTTTATAATTCCACTTATACGAACCATCCAGAATAGGCTGTTCATAGAGATGGAAAGTAAATCAGTGGCTGCCAGGGAATGAAGGAAGGGAAGAAGAGGAGTGATCACTAATTGGTATAAAGTTTATTTTGGGAACAATGGAATGTTCTGAAATTAAGTGATGATATTAGCACATCCTGTGAATACACCAAAACCACTGAATCGTACACTTTAAAATGGTTAAAGTGATGATTTTTATGTTATGTGAATTTTATCTCAATAAATCTACCTGACCAAAAAAAAGTAAGTTACCCACACAACTGAGAGGAAAATCAGGCTGGCCTCAGATTTCTGCATAGTAACAATTTCCCTTAACTTCTAACTTTGAAAGCTTACAAATCTACTAAAAAACTGAAAGAATCTACAATAAATAACCACATAGCCTTCACTGATTTTCTCAACCTGTATAAATATATGTTTACGGGTATCTTTTTGTGGTGATCTTTTTTTTTAAGTTTTTCAACCAAGCTATAGAAGACATACACTTCAGGTCAACATGTTTCTCCTATGAACACATTCTCCTACAAACCACAATATTATGATAACACCCAAGAAATTTGACACTGATACAAAAACAATATCTAATATAAAAACCATATTAAATATCTCCAATGTCCCAATAATACTCTTTAAAGCTTTTTCCCCCCCTTAAACCTATGATCTAGTGAAAGATCATGCATTACATCATTTATCAGACTTCTGTAACACATAATATTCCCCTCATGTTGTTTTTCATGACATTAAAGTTTTTAAAAAACCTAAAGACATAAGAATTTCAGTGATAAAGGGAGTTCTGGGTAGCTCAGTCGGTTAAGTGTCCGACTTTGGTTCATGAGTTTGAGCCCTGTGTTGGGCTGAGCTGATAGCTCAGAACCTGGAGCCTGCTTCGGATTTTGTGTCTCCCTCCCTCTCTCTCTCTCTGCCCCTCCCCTGTTTGCACGCTATTTCTCTCTCTTAAAAATAAACATTAAAAATTAAAAAAAAAAAAAAAGAATTTCAACAATACAAATATGCTATAATAACATAAACAAAAACTGGTAGGTGGGAGCAGGGGAGATGAAAGAAATAAGGGATTGTTCATGTATTCATTTTTCATAGAAGGGAATCTTTGTCACTGTTACAATTTAAGTATATGTAGTTTTTAAGAAAATAATAACTTGAGTCTTTTAATATTTTTAATAACCTCAGAGAAGACTTTCAACATTATTTTTTAAGGTAAATAACATTTTACTTAAAGCCTTTGAATTTCAAATGTTTCTTTTTCAAAAATGTACTGATAATGATCTTTTTTACTCAAATATTTACATTTTTCTTCAGGAACATCAATGAAACATACCTGATTCATACAGCTCTTTTTCCACTGATAGCCCAATTTCTCACAAGTCTCTTTCAGGCATTGGTAAGATTTGTCTGCATCCAATTTGGTAAAAAACCGTGTCATTCTTTTAACCAAGCGCTGCCAAGGGTTCTACATGTCAAACAGAGGAGACCTGAATAAATCCGGTATCACCAAAAGCAGTCATATCATAACTATTTGGTTTGAAAGTTCTCTTCTGTGACTTAAGATTCTTATACATGAAAGTATCCTCTAATTCCTTCCTCCTTTACAAAAAAATCTGTATATGTTAAAGTGTTAATACAATATTTCTAAGATTTATACATTTTTAAAAAAAGGCTTTATGACGAAAACTAGAGTTTTCATTATTTATTTGAAAAACTAAATTCCCTTACCTGTGAGGATCCTGGGGTTCCAAGTAGCTGACTATTCAGGAGCATATGATCAGGACATGTGGGCTGGGAAAAACTGATCCCTTGTACCAGTTTATCAATATATGAAGGATTGGTGTCCCATAAGGAAAGACCTGTCCGTGGTTCTGGTTGGGAACTGGAGTACTTCACATTTTCTTCACTGAGGCATTAAGATATGGGGAAAAATATATTTTTAGATAAAAGCAATCTGGCCTTTCTTATATCACATTACCATTCTTACCCTGATAAAAATTACACTCACTATTAAGAAAAAATATATATACATGCATTACTTCTTATGGGAGTATTACATTCAACAACTATTTGATCTTTGGTGATTAATCTTACCTAGAAGCACTGTTCACTGGAGAAAAGTCCAAATTGGATTGAATGTGCTTAGAAAATCCACTAGAAGACTCTGATATACCACCTGAAGTGACTCGGGGCCTCTTTGCCCCTAAAAAATAAAACAAACACAAATGGTTTCAAGTCTTCTAAGCAAATGTTCTTCAACTAGCCCCAATGGAAAATTAAAGAAGTAAAACCACATTTAAATCCATGTACTTAAAGCAAAATAGTTATATGACAAATAGTGGCTCTTTGTACATGATTACATAAGAAATATGGTCATTATAAACTTACGAAGATAACTCACTTTTCAAATTACACATTTCACAAATCCTGACCTGTAAGCATGTTCCAAGTATAGGGTTTCAAGTTAAGGCCATAATTTTAATGGTACCATTTATGGTAAAAGAACAGTGTTCTATGAAGACAGAGACCTAGCTAAAAAATCAAAACTTTTAAAAATAGAAAATAATTTATGACAATGGCAATAAACATTATGAATCTGCTCTAGCCAACACTCTCTGCTCTCCTGGAAGAGCTTTACCAAGACTAATCATTACACAGAAAATGATGCCACTATGAATCCACTGGTTACTACCATCAGCTAGATCTTCAACACTGACAGTCAGTCCTGTGTTCCTCTCATTAGTTTACTCTCCCTTTCTCCACAATGATCGCTTCAAAACTTCTATACTCTTGTCAAATTCCCACAACGACCCACGCCACAGTACCTCATTGCTTAGCAGTTGATACCATCTCCCACTGCATGAAGAAAATAAAGTCATTAGAAACTCCCTCAATTTAGCACTACTAAATCTGCCAGTTTACTTGCACTGCTACCCATCCTTCCCTCTTCCATGCTCCTGCCAAATGTTCATCCCTCTACTTGTTTGTGAGCCTGTGCCCTCCTATCTCAGCGGTCTTGATGCTCCTTCATCCCTTCTCTCTTAGACTTTCAACCTCTTCCTCTCAACTGGAACTGTCCTGAAATCATTTAAACACATTTACATTTAGCTGAACATTTTATTTATTAATTAATTCATTGAAATATTTTATTAAGCCTGCTATTCATCAGGCAGTAAGAAGAAAGAAACAGCATGCTGGTACGCTGATGAGAAAGCAATAGAGAGAGAAAAATTAATGATACGGGAGGAAGACAAAAGAATTGCTAGATAGTGTCTCTGAGCAGGCAGAAGAGAACTGGGCCTAGTGCACAAGAGAAAGAGCTAGCATGTATCAGAGCAGACAACTTATTCATAGCAGCAAAGGAGAAAGAAGAATATATGAACACACAGGCAGCTGGTAAGATGGCTGAGGATGGTGACGGGAGCTTATGGAAGATGCCTTGATGGTTTCTATTTCCCAGTGAAAGAGGAAGTGCTGTCACTAACCAAGAGTGAGGATGGGAAAGGAGGTACTAGAAGTTGAAAAAAAAAAAAAAAAGAAAGAAAAAGAAAAGGTATACAAGTGTGATTTAGAAGAACTGAGATTATGAAAGAAGCAGGGAATGAATTATTGTTGCCTGGCAGAATTAAGGGCTCACTTGAGATCAGTGATCATGAATTTAAAGTGAACATTGCTGGGGCGCCTGGGTGGCTTAGTCGGTTAAGCGTCCGACTTTCGCTTAGGTCATGATCTCGCGGTTCGTGGGTTCGAGCCCCGCGTCGGGCTCTGTGCTGACTGCCAGCTCAGAGCCTGGAGCCTGTTTCAGTCTGTGAATCCCTCTCTCTCTCTGACCCTCCCCTCCTCACATTGTCTCTCTCTCTCTCTTCTAGAAATAAATTAAAAAAAAAAAAAAACATTTAAAAATAAATAAATAAATAAAGTGAACATTGCTGCATATTCTGGTACCGGTGCAACCAGCTGTGCAGGTGTAAGTACAGAGTACGTAGAAAACTTGGATTAGGTTTTGTCCAGCATGATGAAGAGAGAATAGGGCAGGAAAGCTGAAGGTGAAGCTGAAAGAAGTCATTATAATGACTGACCTTGGGATTTAAAGTAGTGAGGATGGAACTGAGGACCAAGGGAGAGGACAGGTCAGAGATAGTGAAAAGGAAGTAGAATTAATGAACTGCATGTCTAGGTAGGGTCAAAGGATTGCTGGAGTCAGGGTACTAGAGGAGGAAGCCAGAATAAAAATATACTGGTAGTCAAAGCAGGATGTTTGAAGAGAAGATCACTAGAGGACATAAGGTCCAGGCAATTCGAGAGCAGGATATTGGAAGGTTCATCCAAATGAATATTTAAGTTACCAAGAGCCATGACAAAATGTCCAAGAGTCACGTTAGAGTGACAATGTGGCAGAAATTTTAATTGGGGCTTCAGAAGCTGATCATAACAAAGAGGGGAGAAATGTGAGAAAAAGGGAAAGTAGAAATGAAGGACAAAAGGATGCCTGCCCCACTTCCAGACTCAAGGGTAGGAGCGTGTGGGAAAGAAAACATCTGCCACTTGAGAGGAAGCTGTGTTCTCAGGGGAGAGTTGGATTTCAATTAGAAGAAAGTGGAAAAGGAAAAGATTCATTCAGAGAAGAGTTAAAAACTCCTCATTTATCTCCAGCCATTGTCCTCTCTCCTCCCATTCACAGCCAGACTTCTTGAATGAGTTGTCTACACTCTGCTTCATTAGCTCTCTTTTAGACTATAATCATTACACCGTCAAGTAAAATTACACCCAGCCTTTCACCAAACCTGTTCCTTCAACCAGGAATAACTACTGGGCAAATTTTCAGGCTTCATGTTATTAATTCACTCAACAGTATCTGCTACTATCACGCATTTTCTTCTGTTGACCTCAATTTCTTCATATTCTCTTGATGTTCCTCCCATCTCTGGCTACTTTTCTGTTTCCCTGGCCTCTACTTACCACTTAAATGTTGGCATTCCTTAAAATTTCATATACTCAATTTCATCTACCAGTTTAAATTACCATCTACTTGCAGAAAATAACTAAATATTAACATCTCAAGCCTGGTCCTGTCTCCTGAGTTACACACACACACACCTGGTCCTGTCTCCTGAGTTACACACACACACACACACACACACACACACACACACACACACACGCAGTTTTACTTCTCAAAATTAACATATCCAAAGCCAGATAAAATTTCTCCCCAATTCTGTTTTTCTTAAGGTATACCCCAGTAAATGGCAATCGCCACTTTCTGAGTTGTAGACCCAGAAAAGGACATCCTGGATTCCTCATTCTCTTTCATTTTCTACATATAAACAATTATATGTATATAATATAAAAAATATATGTTTATATTATATGCCAGTCCTATCAATTCTAGTTTGTAAATTTCTTTGGAATCTACCTCTTCCTTCCAAATTCATTGTTACTAACCTAGTCCAAGGTACTATCTTCTCATATCTAGGATCAAAAATTTGAAAAACAATGAAAAAAAAAAAAAGAGTAGCCAGAAAGACCTTTTTAAACCAAATATGTGATCGTGTCATTTCCTTGCTTCTTCAATGGCCCTAAGTTAAAGCCCAAAATCTTCAATGTGTTTATAAGGTCCTCCTTCACAATTTGGTCACTACCTACTTCATTTCAAACCTCTCTCCCTCTCCCCCTTCTCTCACTCACTCATTTACTTAACAAACATTTACTGGAAGCCTACAATGTACCATACATTGTCTAACAACTACTGACATAAAATGAACAAGACAGACATGGTCTATGCCATACTGGCCTTCTTTCAACTTCCTCAAATATATCACCTTCCAAATTCTAAGACTCTCCAAATGCTGCTTCCTCTGTTCAGAATATGCCACTCAACTTGCTAGTACTCATCTGGCTAGCTCCTCTTTCATCTTCAGTTCTTAGATTTAATGTTATTTCCTCAGGAAGACAAGTTTTCTCTGTCACTTAAGGCTTGGTCAAACACTTAGCTATACTACTCTGCTTTTCCACTTCATTCACAAATTTATCTTCTGTATTTCTGTTTTTCCTACTACATATTATAACCTACGTGAGGACAGAGACCACGGGTATCCTGTACTGTTGATTTGTGATAATGACCGCAAGTGCCTTTTCTTTCACAGAAAAACATACTTGTATTTTAAGGATATTACCTTTCTTGAGCGGTTTGTTGTACCACCTATCTTTTTTGATGTCTGGGATGGTAATCCTTACTGATGGATTCTCAACTAGGATTTTATGCAGCAAAGCTAAAAATAAAATATTAAGCCAACATTTACAAAAGAGTCACACAAATTAGAAACCTGTACTATGGAATATATTCTCTATTGGTCTCCTTATATCCAAATATTATTTCTAGGGAGGAGAAAGAATAAAGCTACTTAATTATTGTTTTAATTTCATGCATTTGCTCTCTGCTACTGTCTGTATCTGAGAACGCAATTCCCAGATCTGATTCCCAGTTGTCTGCAAATAACTAAAGGAAGATCCAGGTGGAAATGTTTCTCCCCTTGTGACAATATTAACAAAAAGATTTAAAAATCGTCATCCATTTTCAATACCAAACTCCAGTGTTCCAATGTTAGGTTACGTCCTCATTTACACAGTTTTATAAAGAAAAATTACATTCTAGTAACTTTTTAAGAGACATTAATATAAGTAACTGTCTAAAGTATCTTAATTATCTTGATAAAGAATTCATATGTCTCCCAAAACCAAAATTATTTTCTTTTTTTTAATTAAAGTTTTTGTGGTTGTTTCCTTATTTATTTAGAGAGAGACAGAGACAACATGAGCCAGGAAGGGACAGAGAGAGAGGGCAAGAGAGAGAGAATCCCAAGGAGGCTCCCCACTGTCAGTGCAGAGCCTAATATGGGGCTTGAACTCATGAACCGTGAGATCATGACCTGAGCTAAAACCAAGAGTCCATCACTTAACTGAGCCACCTAGGCAGTCACCAAAATTATTTTCTAATGGACCAAAGATTTAAATGAAAAACTGAAAGTATAAAAACACAAACGAGGGGCATCCCCCTGGCTGGCTCAGTCAGTAAAGCATGCAACTCCTGATCTCAAGAGTTGTGAGTTCAATTGGGGCACCTGGGTGGCTTAGTCAGTTAAGCGTCCGACTTTCGCTTAGGTCATGATCTCGCGGTTCGTGGGTTCAAGCCCCGCGTCGGGCTCTGTGCTGACTGCCAGCTCAGAGCCTGGAGCCTGTTTCAGTCTGTGACTCCCTCTCTCTCTGACCCTCCCCTGCTCACGCTGTCTCTCTCTCTCTCCTAGAAATAAATAAAACATTAAAAAAAAAAATTAAAAAAAAAAAAAAAAAAGAGTTGTGAGTTCAAGCCCCACACTGGGCATGAAGCCTACTTAAAAAATAAATTAAGGGGTGCCTGAGTTGCTCAGTTGGTTAAATGTCCAACTTTTAGTTTCAGCTCAGGTCATGATCTCGCGGTTTGTGAGGTCCAGCCCGACTTCAGGCTCTGTGCTGACAGCTCAGAGCCTGGAGCTAGCTTCAGATTCTCTGTTCTTCCCCCACTTGCGCTCTCTCTCAAAAGAAACATTAAAGAAAAAAAAAACCACAAATGAAAACAGGAGTTTTTTCCTGAAGTCAGGGGTAGGGAAGACCTTGCCAAACATAACAATACAGTCAGAAAACCACAAAGGACAAAATAATAGATGTGAACAAATAGAAATATAAAACGTCTGCATGTGAAAATAACATAAAATAAAAATGCATGGCAAATTGTGAACAATATTTGTAACAAATGCAAAGGCCTAATGACATTTTAAGTTTTAAAAATTTCATACAAATAACAAAAACTCTCTGCTAAAAGTGAGTAAAATAGATGCACAAAAACAGGCAAAAAGCTAATAAATAATCAAATATTTTAAAAAATATACAAACCAATGGGACTATGGTAACATGGTATGAACTTTCTGAAAAGCAATTTGGCAAAGTAAACCATAATGATTAAAAACTGCATACATCCTAGGGGCACCAGAGTGGCTTAGTCCGTTACATGACCAACTCTTGATTTTGGTCATGATCTCATGGTTAGCCCCACATCAGGCTCTGTGCTGATAGTGCAAACCCTGCTGGGATTCTCTCTCTCCCTCTCCCTCTGCCCCTTCTCCACAAAGATGCGTTCACTTGCTCTCTCTCTGAAAATAAATAAACATTTTTTTAAAAAGAACAAAAAAACCACATACATCCTTGATATGTCTGGATTTGCCTTTATAAAAAATATTTTTTTAATGTTTTTATTTATTTGTGAAAAAGAGAGAGAGGGAGAGAGAGAGAGAGAGACAGTGTGAGCAGGGGAGGGTCAGAGAGAGAGGGAGACACAGAATCTGAAGCAGGCTCCAGGCTCTGAGCTAGCTGTCAGCACAGAGCCCAACACGGGGCTCCAACCCACAAACCATGAGATCATGCCCTGAGCCGAAGTCAGACGCTTAACCGACTGAGCCACCCAGACACCCCTGGATTTGCCTTTTAATTAAATGATTTACAGTATGTGCATTACAGGGATGAACACCATATCTCTCATAAGTGAAAATTTTTTAAAAATATAAATCTCTAAAAACAGTGTATTGGATGAATATAGTAAGACATATCCACATAGCAAAATACCATCACAGCCTTTACTTATAAACAACAATGTAGACCTATAATTATAGTCATGGAAAAATGTACCTGACTATAGCATTAAGACAAAAACACAGGTTATAAAAGAGCATGTGTAGTATGATCTTATTTTTTTAAATTTTTTGTTCTTTTTAAAAACACACACTTATATACATATATAACAAATATATACTTGCTATTTATTTTTACAATAAAGTGTAGAACTGTATATCAAAATATTAATAGAAGCTATTTCTGAGTTCTGGGATCATAGGGTTTTTAAAAAAATTGTTATTTTCCAATCTATCTGCAAGGATCACAGACTATTTACATGATTATTTAAGTTAAAAAGAAAAAATATATAATGAAAAAATTCAAATAGCACTAGTCTTCATAATCCAAGAAATCAGTACTTTTAATCAACATAAAATAATTACCTAGAGGAGCAGAATCTATTTTTTTCCAGGGGTTGAGGTATGTTTTTTTTTCTTTCCAATCAGAATATTCCTGACAACTGTCACTGGGTTGGTCCCATGGCAATTCTAAAAAAGAAACAAGCCCCAGTTTTCTGAGTGTTCATGTCATTATAGAGTAAAGATTTTAAAGGAAAATAGTCAGTGACACAAATCCATTAAAAGTTTCCTCCAAATTGATTCAACATGGTTGTCAAACTAAGAATGCCAACTCATAGAAATTTTAGAGGCACCTCAAATATGGATAAACTACTTCTGCCCTACTCTTTACAAAATTATTCCTGTGAATTTTAAGAGATTGCTATTGTGATACTTCATCTACTAGCTCTACATAAAACTCATTTTTAAAAAGCTTTGGGATTAAAAGTTCCAACTTAGTTATAAATAAGTTTACTATCAAAATACTTTCATATAAATATGGATTCCCCTGGTTTGTTTCAGCTATTTTGGTACAACAAATCTGGCTTTCTACAGACAGGAGTTTCATCAGGATTAAATAGCTCTTACCTCCAGCCAACATTGCGGTAAGTACTATTCCACAGGACCAAACATCAACTGGTTCTGCATGAAATTCTTTTCTCTTTAGAAGCTCTGGAGCAACATAAGGTAAAGTGCCACACATCTTGTTCAATAAACGCTCACGATTATTATGCCGAAACACTGTTGCCAAGCCAAAGTCAGAGATTTTGAGGTTATCTAAACCAAAGGAAAAATGGATGGCACATGATAAAGATATTTTGTAAATAGATATACTTACAGGAATTAAATATTACTGGAAAATCACTGGTGTTACTTAAAAGTTTGTAGAACTTTTCTATCTTAAAATGACAAGACATTTTAAAAGAAATAAAAGACATCATCACCTACCTAAACCTAGAAAAAGGCCTCATAGCTTCTATTTAAAGAGAAAAATCATCAATATACAGAACAGTATGGACCAGGTTAAAGACAATGGAGTCAAAAGGGGCTGTCCTTCTGGAAAAGGGACAATCTAGTCATAGGCTGAAAGCACAGCCAAGTCCTTCATCAACTTGCACAAAGGGCTGGAAGGAGACGAAAATAACAAATAAGGTACAACTTTCCCAGCAGCAAACAAACCTAGATAGCAGGAAGAAAATATGTAAAGACACACCAAAACTAAAGATCCACAAACCATTAGAACTTTTTGTCAAAGTGGCTAAGTTTAGAAAAGGAGGAGGAACAATGCACAGAAAACAAACCAGAAGGGCAAATTTCCTCTAACTTTCCATCTTTAACACACACAAACTGTAGGCAGAACTTTCAACTTATCCTGCGCTTAGAGGATATCCACAACTGAGTGATGCTGTGCTAGCCAGTGCAGGTAAATGAATTACTGAAGAAGATTAACAACAGACAACTGTTGGGAAAGTTATGAAAATATAGGATATTACTAGATCTTATAGCAAGGGAATCTAACCTAATCTTAGGAGTGAGGGAAGACCCCCTATGATCAAGGTGTCAAATGTATAACCTTTTTAGAGGGCAATCTGGCACAAGATGTCAAAATTGAAATATTCACCTTTTAAGCCAGCAATTCCCAGGACGCCTGGGTGGCTCACAGTTCGTGGGTTTAAGCCTTGTGTAGGGCCCTGTGATAACAGCTTGGAGCCTGGAGCCTGGAGCCTGCTTCGGATTACTGCCCCTCCCCTGCTTGAGTGCTCTCTCTCCCTCCCTTTCTCTCTCTCTCTCTCTCAAAAATAAAAAAAAAAAAAAATTAAAAAAATTTTTTTAAACTAGCAATTCCCATTTCCAGGAACACAAACACAGAAATACTCCCCCAAATTCACAAACACAAACACAAGGATATTCCTAGCAGTATTATCTGTAAATAGCTTAAATATCCAATAAAGAAATGGTAAAATCTTGTGATACATGTATGCAGTGAAAACTATGTACGTAAGTTGTTTAAAAAAAAGAAAAGGTCTATCTATAATACTGACAGGGAATAGGGTGTGAGTGGGGAAAAAAAAGACAAGTGCTATAGCAAATATCCATCATAACATGACTCAAGTTTTATACTGGGCCTGTGCAAAAATTTACGGAACAGACATCACTGTTTCATTTTTTAAGCTAGAAACAACTTAAATGTCCTAAAATAGGGGACTGATTCTTTAAAATCAGGCATATATATCCATACAATATGCTATGTATCCATTGTTAATGTTTACCTGTATTTGAATTGGGAGGTGGCTACTGTAACTATCCTTCTAATAGCTATACGTGACACAATCTTGACAAACCACTGAGACTCAGAGTGCCACATTACTTATATTTACTGATCAATGAAAATGCTAATGGATGACTGTAGCATTCCTCGGATTTTGTTGTTTCCTTATGTCTGCAACATAACACTCAGGTTAGAGAGTTCTCTATATAATAAACTCTACATTGAGTTGTGTGGTTATCTCTGTGAAAAAGAAAAGGGAATACATTTGAGAAAGAATACACAGGACTTGGACTATATTAGTAATATTATCTTTTTTAAAAGATTATTCAATATTGAATAGAAACAAAAGAATGTTTATAGAATATGCAGGATGTGAGCATATCCCATTTACCCAATACTCCATTTAAGAACATTCTCATCTCCTTTGAAATCCCCTGTAATTACTTCCCTCAATTTATTTGTTTCTCTACCTTTTCATAAGTAACCACCATTCTGATTTTTAATATATTTTTTTCTCTGTGATTTTTCCCAAATTTGTATCCCTAAACAGTATGTTTGATTTTACATAGTTCTGAACTTCCTATCAATAGATTCATATGGGTATAAATACTTCTATGAAACTTATGTCCATGTCATTACTCGTACCTACAAATCATCCATTTCATAATTTAATGTTCTATTGTCAATAGATATTTAGGTTGTTTCCAGTTTTTTGATATTATAAACACCACTGCTTTGAGTGGTATACATATATATAATGTTTTCTTTTTAAACCAAGTTGTTACACAGGTGGTTGCTGTATTTTTATTATATTATGTATTAAATGTTTATAATTTTTTATGTGGTTGAATTTAAGTAAGCTCTATGCCCAATGTGGGGCTTGAATTCATCATCCCACAATCAAAAGTCACATGTTCTACTGACAGAGCCACCCAGGAGCCCCATGCCTGAATTCTTATTTACTTTTCAATAAAAGTAAAGGTTTTTTACACTGTATAAATACAATGAAAAAGGCTGAAAAATAAAGTCCACATGCACATTAAAAAAGCTTATATCCTATGATCTAACTTGTGTTAATACATATATGGGCAGAGATATATAGGTCTCTTTTATCTTTACAATCCAAATAGATTCTCTGTCACCATTTTATAAGGAAGGAAAGTGCAGCAGAGAGAAAGTAAGCAAATTACCCAAGGCCATACACCTACTAGGAGGTGGCCTACATTAACCCTAGGTTCAAATGACTCTAAATCTCAAGCTCTTAAATATATGTTAGACTGCTTCTCATAGTTAGAGACACACAATCCGTCTTTCCCAGAGTGTTTTATTTAGCTTGAAACCTACATTTACTCAAAAAAGATCTTAATTTGTAAATGAGGAAGGCGAGGAATTGACTGTAATACTGTCAAGGCTATTAGCACTCAAAAAGTAATGAAAATAGAGTGAAAAATGGAAGTTAAAGGACTTCTCCAGCTGTGCTCTCATTTCTTGGGACTCATCAACCAACCATTCTGTTCCTTTTTCCTCATACACCAAATTCTCAAAATGTCTAATATTTTGCTATGTGCCTTAAGAAGCAACTTGCAAAATACTAAATAATGAAAGGAGGATCTTAGGTAGCTAGGTAGATGGGATAATAAAAGGATATCAAAAAGATAGTCACCAAAAATTAGCTGGTTATAGCTGACTGGTGATTTCTGGTGATTTTTTTTACTTTCTTCTTTACATTTTTCATCTTACTTCATGATTAACTTTTATCTTTATAAAGGAAAAAAACGCAGTATTTTTAGTTTGGAAACAAAGTTTTCCTATTCCAAATATTCACATCTCCATTACTTATTAAATAAACTGGCTTTTCTTTTTTCTTAATGTTTTTATTTATTTCTGAGAGAGAGAGAGAGAGAGAGAGAGAGAGAGAGAGAGAGAGAGACAGCGTGAGCAGTGGAGGGTCACAGACAGAGGTACAGAATCTGAAACAGTCTCCAGGCTCTAAGCTAGCTGTCAGCACAGAGCCCGATGTAGGGCTCGAACCCATAAACCGTGAGATCATGACCTGAGCCAAAGTCGGATGCTTAACCGACTGAGCCACCCGGGCGCCCCTAAACTGGCTTTTCTTAACTCATCTCCATGTATGAAGGTGAATTTCAGAGTTCAGAAAAAGGATAGGAGACTGAAAAGAAAGTACAGTGACTTGTAGTGAACAATACTGTCAGAAATACTAAATGTCAGAGTTGGACAAGATCTTAAAAAATACTTTGGTTCAACTAGCCAAGCAATGTTTAAATTTTCTTTATAATATTCCCTGATAATTAATAATCCAGTGTTTGACTCTCATGTTATAAACTTATTACATTTCAAACCAATCTATTCAATTTTTGGATAGATCCAATAACAGGATTCATGCTTGCATCAATCCATTGCTTCCATATAGTTTTCACCCACATGTTCTGAAAAACTGTATTTAACCACTAGCAACGTTCCCCTGGGCTCCTTCAATTATTCCTTATTTTACACAGCTTGTGGCCCTTACACCAGTCTGGTGACTCTCCTGTAAAAGCACTTTAGTGATTTACATACCTATTATGGTAGTGTTCTAGGACACCCCGTATTTCCAGTCTCACTGAAGCAGTTTTGGAATGCTCTTCCTCATTCTCAGTATCACCTTAGTTTTCTAAGGACTACATCACACAGGTGACTAATATCAAGTGTGTTACTTGGTAAAAGCCTTTTTTAACCTGCTTTGCTACCAGAGATAATGCCATTCAACTAAACTTATTTAATTACTCTTCAAAATCCAAATCCTAGACTTCAGATTTTTCTGTACTGGAAAACAGCTTGTTAAACCTGACTCACTTCTCTGGCCTACTGAATTCATTCATTCAATATTTTTGAAAGCCTACTATTGGCCAGGCACTATTCTAATGCACTAAATAACCATTAAATAAAACAGACAAAAATCACTGCCTCATGCTACAGACATTTTTTCATCTTTTTTGATCCTGACTCAATAAGCTAACACTTTCACTGTCCATCTCTCTCAGTTTTTATGACATCCATAAAATATAAATAAACTCCTTGCATCTCTATCCAAGTCACAGAATAAAAAGGACAAACAAGGCTTCAGGGTGGCTCAGTTGGTTAAGCATCTGACTTCAACTCAGGTCATGATCTCAGGGTTTGTGAGTTCAAGCCCACATCGGGCTCTGCACTGATGAACACGGATGCAGAAATTCTCAACAAAACACTTGCAAATTGAACCAATAGAACATATTTATTCCTGGACTACAAGGGTCCAACCAATGAATAGGATATACCATATTCACAAACAATAAACGTGATATACCACATCAATAAAAGGATAAGAACCATATGATCCTCTCAATAGATGCAGAAAAAACATTTCATAATGTACAGCATCCATTCTTGATAAAAACTTTCAACAGGGGCGCCTGGGTGGCTCAGCTCACTGAGCAACTGACTTGATTTTGGTCCAGGTTATGATCCCAGGGTTGTGGGTTCAAGCCCTGTGTTGGGTTTTATGCTGAGCATGGAGCCGGCTTAAGATTCTCTCTGTCTCCCTCCCTCTGCCTCTCTCCCCTACTTGAGTTCTCTCTCTGAAAAACAACAAACAAAAAACCCTCAAGAGGGGAGCCTGGGTGGCTCAGTCAACTAAGCATCCAACCTCGGCTCAGGTCATGATCTCCCACTTTGTGAGTTCAAGCCTTGCATCAGGCTCTCTGCTGTTAGCACAGAGCTCACTTTGGATCCTCTGTCCCCCATTTTCTCTGCCCCTCCCCGACTTGCACTCATATGTTGTCTCTCTCTCTCAAAGATAAAAAAAAAACATTAAAAAAAAAAAACCCTTAATGAAGTAGGGATAGAGGGAACATACCTCAACATCATAAAAGCCATATATGAAAGACCCACAGCCAATATAATCCTCGGTGGGGAAAAACTGAGAGCTTTTTCCCTAAGGTCAGGAACAAGACAAGGATGTCCACTATCACCATTATTACTTAACATAATACTGGAAGTCCTAACCTCAGCAATCAGAAAAGAAAAAGAAATAAAAGGCATCCAAATCAGCAAGAAAGAAGTCAAACTTTCACTCTTTGCTGATGACATGATACTCTATGTAGAAAACCCAAATGACTCCAATGAAAAATTGCTAAAACTGATACATGAATTCAGTAAAGGTGGAGGATACAAAGTCAATGTACAGAAATCTGATACATTTCTAGACACCAATAATGAAGAAACAGAAAGAGCAATCAAGAAATTGATCTCATTTACAAGTGCACCAAAACCCATATGAATCTTAGGAATACACCTAACCAAAGAGGTAAAAGATCAGTACACTGAAAAACTATAAAACATATGTGAAATAAACTGAAGATGACACAAAGAAACAAAAAAACATGCCATGCTGTTGGACTGGAAGAACAAATATTGTTAAAATGTCGATACTACCCAAAACAATCTACACTGAATGCAATCCCTATCAAAATACAACAAGCATTCTTTGCAGAGCTAGAGCAAATAATCCTAAAACCACAAAAGACCCCAAATAGCCAAAGCAATGTTGAAAAAGAAAAGCAAGCTGGAGACATCACAATTCCAGACTTCAAGCTGTATTACAAAGCTGTAATCATCAAGATAGAATGGTACTGGCACAAAACCAGACACAGATCAATGGAACAGAATACAGAACCCAGTAATAGACCCACAACTTTATGGTCAACTAATCTTCAACAAAGCAGGAAAGAACATCCAATGGAAAAAAGATGGTCTCTTCAACAAATGATGGGAAAACGGGGCAGCAACATGCAGAAGAATGAATCTGGACCACTTTCTTACACCATATACAAAAATAAATTCAAAATGGATCAAAGACCTAAATGGGAGACAGGAAACCATCAAAATCCTAGAGAAGAACACAGGCAACCTCTTTGACTTCAGTCATTGACCTCTTCTTAGACACGTGACCAGAGGCAAGGAAAACAAAAGCAAACATCAACTATTGAGACTTCATCAAGATAAACAGCTTCTAGACAGAAGATAAACTGTTTTCTGCAACAAAACTAAAAGACAACCTTTGGAAATGGGAGAAGACATTTCCATGATCCGATAAAGGGTTATTAATATCCAAAATCTATAAAGAACTTTTCAAACTCGGGCCTCAGTCAGTTGAGCGTCTGACTCTTGATTTTGGCTCAGGTCGTAATCTAATGGTTTGTGAGATCAAGCCCTTCTATAAGAGCAGGGACTGCTTAGGATTCTCTCTTTCCCTCTCTCTCTTCCCCTCCCCAGATCGCTCATGCTCTCTCTCAAAATAAATATTTAAAAAAAAAAAAAAAAAAGAGCTTAGCAAATTCAATACTCAAAAATCAAATAATCCAGCTAAGAAATGGGCAGAAGACATGAACAGACATTTTTCCAAAGAAGACATACAGATGGCTAACACACAAGAAACAATACTCAACATCACTCATCATCAGAGAAACAGAAATAAAAACTACAATAAGATATCAACCTCAAACCTGTCAGAATGGCTAAAATTAACAACACAGGAAACAACAGATGTTGGCAAGGATGCAGAGAAAGAGAAACCTTCTTACACTGTCATTGGGAATGTAAACTGGTGCAGCTACTCTGGAAAACAGTATGGAGGTTCCTCAAAAAGTTCAAAATAGAACTACCCTATGATCCAGCAACTGCACTACTAGGTATTTACTCAAAGATACAAAAATACTAATTCAAAGGAATACATGCACCCTGATGTTTATAGCAGCATTTCCAATAATAGCCAAGATATGGAAAGAGCCCAAGTGTTCATCAACAGATGAATGGATAATGGTGTGGTACACATATACAGTGGAATATTCCTCAGCCATAAAAAAGAATGAAATCTTGCCATCTTAAATGACATGAATGGAACTAGAGTGTGTTATGCTAAACAAAATACGCCAGTCAGAGAAAGACAAATACCATATGATTTCACTCATATGTGGACTTGAGGGAATGAATCAGATGAACATAAGGAAAAAAAAAAAAAAGAAGAGGGAGGCAAACTGTGAAACAGACTCTTAACTATAGAGAACTGAGGGTTGCCAGAGAGGAGGCTGGACTATTAGATGGATTTAACGGGTGATGGGTATTATGGAGGGCACTTGTTATGATAAGCACTGGGTGTTACACGTAAGTGATGAATCACTAAATTTTACTCTCGAAACTATATTACACTACATGTTAACTGGAATTTACATACAAACTTGAAAGAAAAACTTGAAAGAAACTAACTAATTAAATATATAAATAAATAGAACAAACAGGATAAGGCTATGGTCAATGTTATTCCAATATAAACTTTCCTTTATTAATTCATTGAAGAGTTGCTTAAGACTATTCATACGGTTATTCATTTAGTGAGCTACCCCTGCATCTAGATTGGATTCTCTATCTCATCCACAACTATTATCAGGAAGGACTTGTAAAGTCTAAATATACGGAGTATTTCAGATTTCCTACACTTTTCAGATTTTTTGCCCTGAAATTTCAATAATGCAAAAGCTTCAACTCTGCCTTGTATAGATTAAAATAATTTAAGCAACGGTGACAAAATGCTAAACTTACCCCTTTCGTCCAATAGGAGATTTTCTGGCTTAATATCCCTGTGAGTTATCCCAATACCATGCAGATAAACCTGAAGAGAAACAGAGAGAGGCAAACTTTAGTAACTTACTTCTTTCACATTAACTTTAAGGAAAAGAGACAACTGTACCTACCACCCCTGCCATGAGCTGATGGAAGAACCTCTGAGCATCTTGTTCAGGCATGCCTATGTCCGGCTCTGTAAGAATTAAAAATGAAAGTTAGCCTGCCAGGTAAAACATGATCAAGCTGCAACCAGAGTCTCCTAAATCAAAGGTTAGACATTTGTGACGGTATACTGGCAAACAGAACCTTATGCCAACAATTAAAAGACTCACTCAGTACTTAATTAATTCACATTTCCCCATCTGTTATGTGGCAAAAATAAATTAACATCAAAGGAAAACTACAGAGAGAAACTATTATCCAGATCAAGAATGCAAACCATACCTTGAAAGCCTGATTATCTTACACTAAACATGATTTATTTGGTGTCTTTCCAGTTTCCCCCTAATTTCTTCTAAATGCTAGGACAATATTTTCCCCATCCCTACAACATAAGTGCCAAAGTGTAAGCCTGGGCAAATATAAACTAATTTCACTAAATATTTCACAACAAAATGAAACCTCATATAATCTCTCACACTACACAGCCATGAATTACTGCAACGTTCCTTTAGGAACTACAATTTTATTAAGAAATGTTCTATTGTCAGTTTTCTTTTTATATTCTGATCTCTGTCTTTACCTTCTGATTTCTTTTACACTGAACTCTCTCCTGACATACATACTGGAGATTCTAATAATCAGTTTTTAACTGTGAAGATAATAGCTTTAACTTATAAATTTAGATCCACGTAATATATTTTTATGTACTTTTCTGTGTTCTGTAACATCAAGCCTTTGAATCTACATAGAACACTGAAAGTAGCAGTACAGAATTTACTAAATATAGGTAAAACAATACTAAAAAATTCTCAAGTTATTTCACTTAAACAAAAAAGAAGAAATATAACAACATGTTATTATTTTGGCTCTGTCAATGTATGCAATGATTTCATGTAACTGGAATGTCTATAAAGAAAAATCACTGTATAGGTAAAACAATACTTCACCATGAGATCAGTTTATCGTTCTTAAACTCTAAGAAACAGCAACCCTAAACAAAAATCACATGCACACTTTGGGAAAAAGGTTTACCTTGGTGAATCCATATTTACTTTAATGTGTTAACATAACTTGCAAAAGCAAGAAAACTTACTGTAATTTCGCTGTTGCATAAGCAGTTCTGAATGGACAATGACCAAAGAGCAGATCCAAGATTAAAAAACAAATTTAGAAACTTAATTAGCAGAATAGATAATTTAAATCTTATTTCCATACCTATTCTGTCAAAAAGCTCTCCTCCACTACAGTATTCCAGAAATAGATATTGGATATTGCCTTCTCTCCTGTGACCATAGAATTTCACTACATTCTCGTGATTTAACATTTTATTGATACAGATCTCTTTCTTAATATTTTCTGGACAGTCTATGGCACGTTTCATGTCTACAATCTTGACTGCAACTGCTTCTTCAGTTCTTCTATTCACAGCAAGTTGAACTCTAAAAAGGAAAAGGAAGACATGTGAATTCTATTTAAGACTTCAAAAGATTAAATATCAACTCATTCAACAATTTTACCTTTGTTACTTTCTCCACTCAGTAAAAACGAAGGAAATGGTTTCTGCCATGTTCTCAACAGATACTACTCCTTTCTGAAATGAGGGCATTAGCCATCATACATCACAGAAGTTATTATGTTGCATATCCAAAGGTCATTTAATAAATGCTTGATAAACTAAAATGGAGTAACAGTAATTCTAGGCCACATCACACATACACATGCTCTATTTAATTTTAATAACATCACCTAATATTTATTAACCTCACACTATATATGCCTATGGTAGCTGTTCTAAGCCCTGTGCGGTATATACTATCATTGTCATGGTAGACCCAAGGAAACAGAGACAGACGTTAAGGAGCTTGCCTAAGGATACAAAACAATGTGTTAGTATGTAACAGAGTCAAAATCTGAAACCAGGTAGTCTGACTCCCCAGTCTGATCTTTTACTCATTCAACCACTATGCTTAAAAGCCAGGAAGGAATATGTGGAAGGAGAAACTGAGTTCACAGTTCTTTACAGAAAAAGAAATTTTTTTTAAAGAAAAAAATCCTTACCAAATTTTGGGCTTTAGTTCCTACAGGTCTTTGAGTTCAAACGCAAAGGTCTGTTCTCTGAGATGCCCCTGTATTATAATAAACAACTCCCGGTGTGCCTAGGTGGGTCAGTTGGTCGAGTGTTCGACTCTTGATTGCCACTCAGGTCATGATCCCAGGGTGGTGAGATCGAGCCCCAAGTCTGGGTCCACGCTGGGCATGGAGCCTGCTTAAGACTCTCTCTCTCCCTCTCTCTCTCTCTCTCTCAAAATAAATGAAAATAAAATAGGATACACAGTCCAAAACAAGGAATACGTACTGCAACAAGATAACAAACACAAAGCGAAAGCACGCGTGAAGGCAAAGCAAGAGGACTCAGACTCACTCTCCATAGGCACCTTCTCCCAGGGTTTGCACCAAGTCCCAGTCTTCCACAAAAGGCACTGCCATGACTCCAGGATGGATCACGGCTGTAAAAGGCAGGAACCCAGAAGAGACGGGGGTGAGGATAATAAGCTTCGACCAGCTGTCATGGTCCCTCAATGTCACTAACAGTTTGCTTTCCCCGGGCACCTCGCCCGCGCTGCACCCAAGGCTCCAAAACCACACACGCAAGTGCTGGAAGTAGCGGCCTGGCGCGGTGTAACTCACACTCCCCCCGCCCACGCGGAGCGACCTACAGCAGCCCCCCTCAGGCCTCCGAGGCAAGGCAGCGGCTGTGCAGAGAGGCGGGGGGGCACAAATGCTTTGAAGGGGGTGACCGGGGAAGGGAAGGCGGGGAGGCGCGTGACGGGCAGCGGGCTAGCGGCGGCCACGGTTAGGCGCCGACGCCTGCGGCCCCTCCTCCCCGCCTAGCTCGGCTCCAATTCCCACCCCCACGCCAGGGAGAGGACCGGGAGGAGCCTGGGGCGGGGCCAAGCTGCCCCAAGAAGCGGAAGGAAGGGCTCGCTGGTACTCGGGACGGCTGGCGCCCAAACCTCAGGGGTCCCCAGCCAGCAGAGAGGGAGTCTCTTCAGTCCCTCTACAACCGGGTCCCCCTGGTCCCAAACTCCTCCACTGTCGGAAACCGCCCCTCCGCGGGAGACCCTCTGGTTCCCTTCCCTTGTCACCCGTAACTTTCTCTCGCCGTGCCCCTCTCAACTAACGTGGACCGCCGAAGTCCTTTTACAGACGCCTTTCCAACCCTACCGGCCGCCCCTCCTCACCAGGCCGTCCTTTGCCCGCCACCACAGGAATCCAAATGCAGCGCTTTTCCCGCCAAAACTTTCCCGGCGTCACGCTGTCGCAAACGCGCGCACCCTTGCCGTAAAGCAGGAGAGCGCGCGTCTCCCACCTCCGGCCGCTGTAAGGGGTGGCCGCGCCGGGCACCCGGTACCCGGAGAGCGCCCCCGAGTCGTGAGCCGGCCAGACCCGGGTTACTTTGGAATCAAGGGAGATCCAGCCTTGGAGAGGTTTAAAAACGGCCGAGCGCATCAACGCGCGGGATCTCCGGGCCACAGTGCGCGCGGGTCTCCGGTGCGTGGCCCGTAGGCGCGCGGCCCTCCAGCTCCGGGGCGGAGCCCGAAGCCCCCTCGGAGACCTGCGCGCACTCTGGGACTGCGGGGGCCCCGGGGGCCCTCCCCGCGGCTCTGGGCCTGGGCGCCTGTCCGCGCGCTCGCCCTCCGAGTCCCGTGCCCAGCGGCCTGGCAGCCTTGTGCGGATGGGTAGTATTCACAAGTGTTGCCTCTGAAACTTTAAAATGCGGTACGTATCAAACTAGGGCTGAGAAGCCGGGACGGCCGTTCGGAGTCACCCCCGTGCAGAGTGAAAGAACTTGGCGGCGGGAGCGAGGCACCCAGACTGGCCGCGCTGCAGCGGGGCTGGGAAACAGGCCACACTTTTGTACCGTGAGGGCGTGTCAGGACAGCCGGTTTCGCCTTGTGTCTCCAGGCTCCACAACACTACTTGAGCCGAACCTTTTGGAAGGAACCCCATCTCCAGAGCCTAGTTCTTCTACCCGCTTTCTCACTCTCATTGTGTAAAAACCCGACGGCTGGAGGCAAAGGGACTGTTTTGCCTCGTTTTTACGAAGCGTATTTTAAAAGCAGAGTAACCAGTTCAAATGGGAAAGAAAGTTCTGGGGAACGGGACTTGCTTGAGAACAAAATAAGGTGGAAAAAGCATGAAGTAGTCCCCCTCGACAGTAACCGAAAAAGCACACCCATGTTTTAAAGCAAAGTCCGGGACAGAAAAACAGGGACAGAGCACTTCCAGGTACTGGAGAAGTGTTTAACCATGACATCAACAGCGTTAGTTTCACGGAATAAAGTAAGTTTTCCAGGTCCTTTACTCCATTTTCACACTGTGCTGTAAACAAAGAACATGAAGAGAGGAAGAGGGGGACCTGCACAGTTCCTGTGTCTGGGTGGAATCAAGGTGTCTTAGCCTGAAAAGTGAGTAAGGTATGCAGGTTTCAGGCAGAATACCAGTTGAAGAATGTGAGAGAATCAGCGCACACATCCCCTTCTGAAACCTCACTAGAAGAGCAAATATTAAAATTATGATTTAATAATAGTAAAATTTATCATTTTTAAATAGTAAATTTGTAACAGAAAGCGGTAACTCCATACAAGAATGGAGTATGAAAAAAAAATTTTGGAAATTGGGCAGTTTTTAGATGAATGATAAAGATGAATCTTCTTAATGCCAGCAATAGGAAAGAAAAGCATCTTGATTTACATCACAGAACTCCCAAAAGGCTCAAGTTGGATTAGTGGCTGCTGGGTAACTGAATGGGAAACTGATGAAGGTGGGGCTAAACAGGGCAGGCTGAAAGAAGCAAAAAGATTTGGATCCCCTCCCCCCCTTTCTGTACCCAAGGAACTGCTCCTCCTCAAAGCTGGTACAAGACTTGAGAGGGTAAACCCTATCCTAACTGGAGAGCATCAGGCACAGTTATAAACTTGGGTACCTTACTGAAAACAAAGGTATTAAGTTTATGTACAGAGCCTTCTGCCCCCTCCTCCACCCCCAAATCTGCCAGGCAGGTTTGTATTCCCTAAGAAGACATCCAGGCCTTCCTCAGGGAATCTCACCTAGCCAGATCTAAAAATACCAGTATCAGGGATTTCCTATGTAACAATTATGTAACAGTTATGGTCCTGTGTTAACAATGTGACAACTGCCAGATCACAGGAGAGCAGCTGACATTCAGTAAGCCCCCACCCCATAAATACCTTCCAATCCACCCCACTCTCTAAGAAGAGCAGACAAGCAAGAATTTGAAAAGGCCTTTAATATGAAGGATCTTAAAACAAAGTATTTTTTTTTAAAGCTCTTGGACATAAAAAAATAACAGCAGAAAAAAATGGAAAGTAAATAGAAAGGTTAGAAAAAAAAATGTTTAGGAAATCTCCCAGAAGAAAAATAAAGATGGGAAATCAAGAGTACATATAAGAATGTCAGAAGACTAGGGGCACCTGGGTGACTCAGCCAGTTAAGCATCCAACTTCGGCTCAGGTCATGATCTCATAGTTGTGAGTCTGAGGCCCACACTGGGGTCTCTGCTGTCAGCACAGAGACCACTTCAGATCTTCTGTCCCCATCTTTCTGCCCCTCCCCTGCTTGCTCTCACTCTCTCTCAAAAATAAACGTTTAAAAAAAAATAGAAGACTAACCCAGTAAATCCAACATCCACATAATTTTTAGAAAGAGAAAAGGAGTTGAGGGAATACACAAGTAAATTTCTCAGAACTAAAGAACTTGACTTTCCATACTTAAAAGTTTAAAGTACCCAGCACAATGGATGACCCATTCCTAAGTGCATCATTGAGAAAATTTCAAAACATTACATATGAAGAGAGGTTCCTAACAGGCCTATGGTGGGAGTTGGAGGGAATGGACGCATACCAAAAAATTAAGAATCAGAATAGCATTGCATTTCTCAATAACATTTAGAAGACAGAAACAATGAGCCAATGCCTTCAAAATAATTCTAAGGAAAAGTTCTCCCCAACCTGGAACTCTGTACCTGCCTAATTGAGTGACAAGAGACAGGCAAGATCTAAAGAAACTGATCTCCCACACATTTTCTCAGGAAGGTAGATAGAGGTGATAATCAAGAAGGAAGTTAAGAGATTAACACAATTTGGAAGACCTACCAACCCAACAGGTGAGTAGCAGATCTAGAATGTAAACCAATCCAAACCATAACATACCAAAACAGGTGACATCAAGAATGAACACCTAACAAGTTTGAACAAAGGAAACTGGCACAAATGAAGGAGAGCTTGGGGAGAAATTAGTACAAAATACAAATGAGAAAAGCTTCTCCAAAAAAAGTTATGCAGAAACAAAAAAAAAAGCAGTAAAAGTACATATACCACATGGTCTAGATGTGAAAAACTCTAAGGTAAAGCCTGAGCTATTCTAAATCCTAACTGTAATAGAACCTTAGGAGGATGAGAATGTGTCCATGGGAATAGCACCCTCAGTATCTACATCACCCAAGTCAATAAATGATACCTGAAATTGAAAAACACAGAGCAAGCTAAAGCAAGTTATTTACTGATATGGAGGTAAGTAATGTGAGAATCAGCAGAGTTATAAGTGGTTGCCACTGAGAAGTGGAAAACAGTGTTGTTACTTTTAGATTTGATTTTTCTTACAGTAGGTGCACTACAACAGTGAAAGCGAAAGTAAATTTTTTAAAAAAGATAGCTTCACGTAGCCTTGAAGGTAACAAAATTAAAATTGTAAGAGTGACACTATAGAGATACGTTCAAGGGCTATCACATATATACTACCAAGGAAGATCACTAATGATCTTTACCTGGTATTGCTCACATTGATTTAAAAAAAAAGAAAGAAAGAATAATCTCTTCCACTAGGGAGAAATTCTGTATATAAATCCAGTAATATATTTACATATAGTAAATTAAATCTTACATCAGGTCTAAATCTCACCCACAAGTCAAGCACTTGGTATGTAAGTTGGTTTGGAAGGCTACGTTTCCTGGGTATACAAGAATACAGGGGTGTACCCTTTAGGAGCACCATTTAGACTTATCTAAAAGCTGTATAATTGCTCCTGTTTCTTAACAGGTAACACTAAACAGTTAGCTTGTGTTTCTGTTATGACTTAGGGTTTATATACATCACTGATATGTCTTACGCTGTCAAATACACAGTGTCCTACTCTACTGAATATAAGGCTGTTCTGACATTAAATATTGTTGGAACTACTGTGCTTTTAAATTTATTTTTCAATTTCTCTTCCCCTTTACTGCAGTCAGGGTAGCACTGTCTCTAGGTACTTGCTAATAGCAGTTCTTCCCCCTTTTAATTTGTAGCTTATTTGGCCAGGGCTTCAAAACCGATCATTGAGTTTGTTTGCAGCATAGAATAACAGCAAACAGGCTAACACTAAGGGAGAAAGAAGCCACCCTTACATAATTACAAGAGGTTTAGCACATAGGCTAAAGGCAATGAGCAAAAAGATATTTACTGTGTCACGGATAAGTGAATACTGAAAAGCTGGATTTCAAATAGAAATGTATAATTATATTTCAGCTGATTCAAAAATACCTACTGACCATCAAATTCTATATATAATACTGGAAAAGTTTCATCTCCACCGAGAACAGTAATTTCACTGCCTGCCTTGAGTCTTTCTTCAAAACTTCAAGTGATTCTCACTTGATTTATTCTTGCTCAAAAAAAACAAAAACCAAAGCAAAACAAAAACAAAAAAACCTAGCTAGTCTCAAAGACTACTGGTGAGATCAGGTCTGGCTAGCCACTTCCTGTCCCTCATAAAAGCAAATTGCTTCTAAGGACAAGACATGTTAAGAACAGAGACAGGATGGCAACACAGCTGTCTTTTCCTGCCCAGAAATGGCACTCCTCTGGTTCCACAAACACTTATTTATTTAATAAAAGTTTACTGAGCACCCACTATATGCAAGGCATTGTGCTAGGTGCTACAACTTCTGAAATGACAAAATTGTACATGTAGGATCTGAGCTAGTCCTTGATAGTGTTCCTGATTTGAGAGAGACAGGATGCCCCCCCGTGGCTCAATTAAGGAGCTAAGAGCATGGATGAGGTCTGCTTTTCCCTCCTATCAGCCCAGCACAAACTTTTGCCTTTCTCAAATCAGTCATAAGTCAAAAGAAATAAGGCACATTTAAAAAAAAATTCCCCCCTTTAATTGACCAAAGTAAAGCCATGACATTTCATTTGGTAACCTGCTCAGAATTATAAAAATCATTCCATTTGGCCCAGCCCATACTGCCCAGGGCA